CAGCTTGCAATGGGTGTGTGTGGGAGACAAATACATCACTTGCTCCCAAGATCTGAAGAATTTCTGGGGTTAAAGGTGGAGGCTGGATTTAGGGCACCACATTCCCAACCTCTGCAACCCAGGCACAAAGGGAGGCTGGGGTTTTGACTGGGGGTTTTGGTTTGGTTGGGTTCTTTTGTTTGGGTTTCTTTCAAGCAAGGTGCTGCATGATATTAAACCCTATTCCCAAACACCACCAGAGCCACACATGGGCACAGACCTGCATTTAACCTCCCAGGGAGCTTTTACAGTCACTTTCATAACTCACTTACCATCAGGCTTTTGCTTTGCCGATGCATCACCCCTCATCGGCTACAGGAGAGCGAATCTGGCCTGGGATGCAGAAACACGTTTGTCACTTCCTACGCCATAATTGCAAACCACAGGGAAGAACATCCTTCCTCATTTCGGGGCTAAAAAGCTACAAAACCACAACCGCCTTAGCAATGGCGATAGCAGGGAGCAGGAGGATATCCCCTGTGCAGATGTTCACCCTGCCACCCGCACCGTGGTTTTGCACAGAGGAGCTGGGGCACCCGATAAAGCATTGGGGTCAGAAGGATTTACGAGGCTCCTATTCCTAAATCGAGGGGAGGGGGAGGCTTAGGGGCTGGGAACTGGTGTGGAAGGCACCGGCAGTGAGAGGTTATCACCAGGGTTCAGCTATGAGCTGTGCATCATCCTGATATTTACTCTCCACCTTCCCACAAAGTTCACTTCATGAATGAGGAGTGAAATTCCCCCTTGTCTCTGCAGCTGGGTGATTTTTGGCTGTGTGCATCATGCTCTGGGTGCTCCTACGTGGATTCAGGAGGGGAAAACCACTCATTTTCTTAGTTATGAATACCACATCCCTGGCAGTGATCAAGGCCAGATTGGACGGGGCTTGGAGCAACCTGATCTAGTAGAAGGTGTCCCTGCCCATAGCAGGGGGCTGGACCTGGATGGTCTTCAGGTCCTTTCCAACCCTGATCGCTCTATGATTCTATATCTACAAGATATCCTGTATCTTACCTTGGTATGGCCCACTCTATCTAAAAAACACTTGTTTTGTTTGATTTTTGGGGTGTTTCTTTTTGTTTTAATAGGTGTTTAATACTATGTACAACAAGTATTGAGCCCCCTTCAGCACTGCCTGGCCAGCACAGCCCCCCCCCACCAGGGATCAGCTGAACGACAGCCCCATAAATACTTCCAGCCTAACTAACCTATGGCCCCATACAGCTGCCTAGCCGGTCCACTAACCCTGTTACCTGCTGAATTTATGAGTCTTAAACAAGATAAAAAGAAGGGAATACTGGATTTATTTTCTTTCTAAAAAGAAAACTCAAAGCAAGGAGTCTATATTTCTAAGGGTTCAGCCAGCCCAGACCCTGACAGCAGCCACTACCTACCACTATTTTATGGTCTTTGCTGCCTGTATCAGTGCAGCTTTAAAAAGCAGCAATATTCCCTGTAAACAGTAGTTTGGGAGGGGAAAAAACCTAAGTATTCAATTGGCAGAAAGGAACAGGGAGGCAGCCTTGGGATGAGAAACAGGTTTCAATGCACAGCTCAGACCCGCACAGCCATTGTGGTCCAGCTGGAGACTGGGGTTTTCCCCAGCCGATTTTCCCAGCCTTTGGAAAACCCTGTTATTTCATGCCCCAAACCCCAAGCAGCAGCTGCAGTGTGGGAATGGTGCCCAACCCAAAAGTCCGGCTGCAGCCCCCATCCCAGTTTTCATCTCCATAGTTGGAGAGATGCTCTACAGCTCCTCCAAACAAATAAAACCACCTAATCCCCGGGCTTCAAACAAACATATTAACCTGTTCTCCCTATTTTAGTCAACCCTTGACCTCGTGTGTTATATAGGAAAGCTGTATAATGCCTGCCTGAAAAACAACCTTTCAGGGCAGGGGTTTGTTTTATCTTCCACATTTAAAAGACAATCCCAGCCTCCCATTGATGGCTCCAGCACAGGCAGCTGAACCAGGCCTTTTATCTTTAAGGATGTGAATTAAGGGTACCACCTTTTCTTTGCTGTTTTGAACAAGTCTTGGCCTTCAAACCCTAAAGCTGGATGGAAAGTGGACTGAACACTGAGGGTCTCTCCGTTTTATCCCAACTGCCCCCACCTTGCTTGCCATGTCCTGCTCACGGCTCCAGACTTTAACCTCCAGCATCTCATGGTGAAGGCAAAGGCAGTGACTATGCCATCTTCTGACTTCAGAGGGAGGGGTAAACTATAAAGTAAGTTTGAAAGGCTCTGGGAAACAAGAAATGGCCAGGAGAGAAACAAACTTGGAAGATACAGTGAAGCCTCCAATCACTCCCAGTGTGACTTGGTGCCTTGAGAAAAACACCGTTCTGGTCCCTTCAGCAGCCTGTGTGTTGTCTATAACCCATAACCAACACCACTGTGGGTATCACAGCAGTCCAGCAGCCCCCAGAAGGAGATGCAACACCAAGGGCAGGGAGCAGGTTGCCAAGAAAGTCAAAAGTACTTCTTCTTGACACACAGGGCATCAGTGTCAGCACTGAGATACCGACCAAAGATGCAGGAGGACCCAGCTAGCCACACTGGAGATTAAATACTTCAATCCTATGGCAGGTTCTGACCCCAATTATACCTTTAGAAACCCACCATGATGCTGCTGGCTTTAACTATGGTCCCCATCTGAATCCAGTGTGAAAACATGCTCTCCAACCCACGATAAGCACCATGATAAGCTGCTTCTTCTACCACGCACACCACTACTCAGCATCCTCAACTCTGCCTTCAGCAGCTTCTTCATGGCCTGACTTACTTTCTTCTTGGGTTTCTTTAAGTACACAGCACAAAAAACCACACACAGGCCAACTTCAGAGATATTCCCACTAGAAAAATTAAATACTCATAATGCTTTCTTAAAGTGAATTGGGTCCCTTAATTTGCATCTTATAATAAGGATGTTATCATACTGGTTTATGGCTCAGCTCTTTAGTTTCTATCTCTCAGGGGCTAGATTTCCCCTCATGAGTTCAATAGATGTCTGTGAACTAATGTAATTTTTTAAAAGGCTTTTCTCCTGTATTAACATTACAACCTCTATGAGTTAAAGGTTTTACTTGCCCAAGTGCAGGGCGTGTTGGTGTTTGAGAGCCAGGCACCGTCCTTGCCAGCGTGGCTACAGAGGATGCTGCAACCTGGGGTTAATCCTGGGCAGCGGGTGGAAGACTTCCTCACCTCCTCACACCAAGCCGAGCTCTCCAGCGTCCTCCAGCTCTTACATTCAGCTTAATTATAAAACATTGTCACTCGAATATTAAAATAATGTTTAATACACAGAAGGGAATAAGCCAGCCCGGAAAAATGCATAATTTCCTCATGCCTGCCCTGCTACTCGCATGCAATGAGCTCTGTTCTTTCTCATCCTTTCTCCTGACTGCCTCTTACAGGAATACACTTCCAAGAGCCTTTTAAAAGCATTTAAATCCAGGGAGGCTTTCCCCATCTCCACACTTCCCCATGGTGCCCATCCTCAGGAGGCAGAGCAGGGCTGGGGTGGGATTCATCCTCTTGTCCCCTTCCAGCCCTGCATCCATACGGCAGCACCAGGGTCTCCGGGAGAGGAAAGCAGCAACAACTTGACTTAAATCCCAGAGGACGTTTTTAAACTTGCCCAAATTAGGGCCCAGGGGCGGATGCTCAGTGTTTCAAAACAGCCAGTCTCCGAGGTGCTCAAACACGCCACGGGTAGGAGCGATGTCGAAAATGCCAGCCCCTGCTTTAACATACCCTGGGATCATTCGTCACCTCCACACCTTATTTTATATTGCCAGGCTCTACTTTAAATAAGCTGGGCTCTTTTTTCCCCTCCCCTTTAATCACTACAGCTGCAGAAGGTGCCGTCTCTTCAGCAGGGAGAGAGGAAAGGAAAATAGAGAGGAAACCAGTTGAAAGGGGGATTTAGGAAGCAAAAAAAGCCAACAGAAGCAGCCAGGTGCAAAGCAGCTCCCAAAGGGATGTTGCTTCCCCAAAGCATCCAAATGGAAAAGCTGAACCCCGGGGGAACATGCCAAGGAAAAGGTCAGTTGGAAGGAGAATAGAAAAAAGTTTATACATAGAGGAATCAGGGGTGTTTGAGGGGAGCAGTGCAGGCACAGCCCATGCTGCCTACCAACAGGGGCTTTTCCAGAGATAAGCCATGGGATCAGGGCTGCCAGAGGGCAACCTCAGCCATAGGGAAGGGGGACCAAAGCCTCACAGCCACCGGGTTCTGCTCTACGGGGAGGTCATGGAAATGACAGACACATAGAGAAGAAAACACAGGTTTATTTAGGGCTCCGTGCTCTACTCCCAAAACGTCCCAGGTTTGCAAGGGCACAGCTATTTAAAGAGCAATGTGGCATCCCCATAGGCACTACAGGCTCTGCTATAGATGCTCAAGAAGCAAATTCACAGCCCCGCTTTCTGCTGCATGCAGGTGTGATGTGCAGGAGGCCCTTGGCCACCAGCACCTTCACCCAACCTCTAGTGATGGATGGGGTACAGACCCAGAGAAACCCCACGGAAAGGGTTAAGCAGCCTGTGGATGCTCTTCCCATGCGCTTACCACATGGAGCAGCTTTGCTCACAACTGGGAAGCATTAAAGGTTTAGCATGGGCTGGTGCAGGTGGTACAGCTTTTGGCTGCAGGCTCTTTGATGCATTCGTCTGGACAAGCTCTGGGGATCTTCTGCCAACCCATAGGGACAAGCTGGAGAGAGGCCACCTCTTGCCAAGGGGCCCCTGTCTCTGGGGCCAGCCCCTCATCAGCTCCATGGGGTTGGGCAGGGGTCTTACTGCTCCATCTAGACCTTCTCCTTGAGGAAAAACCCATCTTGCCTGAGTATTTGAGGCAGTTAAGCTTAGGAACAGCCATGCTGGGGAAAGAGGGAAAGCCCCAAATATTGCCATTTTCATGCCATTTAAATTAAGATGTTGTAAAACGTGAAAATAACTTGAAAGGCAGTAGCCCTGTTTTATTAATAGCAAGTATTTATTAGCCTCCTTGATTTACAGTATGTTTCTGAAAGTCATCAGTCCATCACATTCTTCAGCACGGGGGCTGAGTTGTTTTGCTTGGTCAACACAATATGGAATATAGATCTGAATATGAGAAGCCAAATACAACCTTCATTTTGCATGCACATATCCCACCAACGGGAGGCCCGTAAATGAATCCTGTATAGCCCTTAGACACATGCATTTGCAGACATTTGGGGAGGAGGTGGGAGCTTCTATACATCACCACTGGAAACCCAGAGGGCCATGGAAATTGCCAGAGAAGAGCCATCAGAGCTAGAGCAACCTCAGAAAGCATCACAGCACGCACACCCCAGCCACCAAATAAGGTGGAAACCCACCTTGTGATCTTGCTATTGGGCTTTGACATGAAAAGCCATGTGTCCACCCATCCATCTCACCGCAGTACTTGATGCTCACATAGCAGAGACCTCCATCTGCCCGCTGCCATCCCAGCTTTGATTTCTCCTTTCCCCTCCTTGTCCATCTGTCTTGTCTGCACCACTTCTTGCCCATCACCACGGCACATGGGCGCCTGCCCACTGGAACCGCAGCCGAGCCGGCATTCCCCAGGGATCACATCGTGCTCATTATGGGAGGCCAGACGAAATTAAATTGGGGCCCACTGGTTCTGCCATCTGAACTTCATCACTGCTAAAGACGCAATAAAAGTAATAGCAACAATGAACAAGCCTCTACCAGATGTGTAACTCTATCCAGTGAGATTAAGGAATAAGGGCCATATTTTGGGTTTGGGAGCCTTTTTTGGTGTGTTCCTCCCTTCCCAAGCTCCATCTTTCCTTGGGAATAATTATTAGGACCTCTGTGGAAGATGAATGTTAAGAGGGTGACTTCTAGGGGGAGAGGAGTTTCAGGGGGTACTGGGATGGAGGGGCAACAAGGTTTTATAGACTTGAAGCATACAACTGATGATGCCTAATAACACATGAAATGGTTAAATTGTGGGGGGGAGCAGAGACTAAAAAAAGCAGCAAAGAGGCACCACTCTCATTCAGGGGGGTTGTTCAGATTGCTCCTCAACAGTAATTTATATTTGGATCACGTGAAATATCACAGCAGAGCAGAGAGCCCTGAGAAGGCAGCTATGTTTAGCAGATCCTCCACCTCACCACCAAATACCTGCAGGTAAATCTGACCCCTGGGTTTCACCAGCACCCGGGCAGCTCAAACACACTCAGCAATAGAAGAAATAGATGCAAACCAAAAGTGCAGGGCAAACAGTAGAGTTGGTAAAAAAACCTCAGATAAGCCCAAGAAGGATGGTGATTCCCTCTGCCTTCCCCTAGCATTCAGTCACATTGCTGCCCACCAACACCATGATGCCCCTGAGCCCGATGCTGCTACTGGTACCCAACACAAAGTAGGGGGTACCACTGGGACCCAAGACAAAGCTTGGGTTGAAATGAAGCACAGAGGGTTGGGAATGTTGCTTAAAATCTCATTCGTAAGTTTTTAGATCTGTTCTCAGATCCCTTCTCAAAAGGCATTTCTCAACTCGCAAAAGCCCAAGGCCCAAATACATCATGAATCTGAAATACATCTTATTTTAAAAGCAAAACTTTAAGTTAAACTTCACAAAAGACTTGGCCTTTGCTGCATTTTAGGGTCATGAAAGTGTGCTTAGAAAGAAAATACAGCACAGTCAAATCGCCTTCAAGTTTGAAAGCAGCTTTGTCAACCCAAAAGAAAAACCAAAGCTAAGCCAGCTAATTCCCAGGTATCTTGTTCATCTCAGCCCCTGATCTGGGAAAGAAAGAGTTTTTCTTTTGTTTATTAAAAACTCCAAACTTTAGGAGGTTTGCTTTCTTTTTAAAGACCAAACATAGTTCACTTTTTTACTCCAACTTGCAGGCTGATCCATTGGGAATACGCTAAAACACAAAATCCCTAGGAATACTGCCCCTCTTGCACCAAAACTGCAGCAGCCAGACCAAAGAATCCTGATGACACCCCCAGTGAAAGCACACAGCATCCCAGGTTGCAGAAAGCAGTGGAAACCCTCATAGCTCCATCCAAACCTTATTCTGGGGCTGCCCTGTTGCTTTGCAGACCCTGGAGCTTGTGGGTAAGAGGGAATAGGAGCCCCCAGCACTTACAAAGGGGTCACAGCACTCATTACGTGTATTCGCAACTTTAAGGCAACACAAATCCTGCAGCTATTTTAAAGTCTTAAGATTTGGGGAGTTAACACCTTTATTAAATGAAAATCATACATTTTAAGGACTATCTCACTTTACCTTTAACACCTCAGGAAAGGACAAGTGAAACTTTCCTCCCCTCTCTGTTCTTGCACTTAGCTGTTACTGCATCCTTATCTTCTGCTTTTCCAGAGAGAAACACCTTCCTTGCACTGGTTGCTGGAGGAGAGATGGGCCACAGCCAGAGAAAGCAGAGCACAACACACTCATTCCACCAGGCAGAGCATCAAGAGCACAACCAACTACCCCAGAAGCCATGCATGAACTGAGCTTTGCCCATGCTCAGACAAAATAAGGCCAAACCCCCTAAACCTGACCAGCACGCTAAAAAACCCTTGTAAAGCAGCTTCCCAGCTGCCCTTCATTACAAGCACTACAGGCCTGCTGTAGATAGGTACCAGGTGATCCCTGGCTTGCAATGTAGAGAAAGCAGAGCAGCCCCCTTTGCAATTAATAACTCCGTTAGCCCTGATCTGATGCAGCTGCCTGATGCAGATACCCCCGGGCAGGAGCTGGGATGCCAGCAGCTAATGGGAGCTGCTAACTCCTTACTGATGGTGTGTTTGCGATCAATAGGATCCTTAATGCAATAGGATTCACCCTTCCAAGGCTCAAAACACCCCTTGTAAGCACACACAAAGGTGATAGCATAGGCTGGAATAGGAAGAACCTTTATAGAAACATCTCTGAATGGTAAAAAAAGTTTAGGGTGTGTAAAGATTTTGGACCTCAAAGACCAAATTGCCCTAAGAGAAGCAGCAATAGCTCCCTTTGGGTCAAGCCAGGAGCCCAGGGAGATGGTGCATAGGCAGGACTTGACCCTACAGCTGTATGTAGAGGTTGTTCTGCTGCTCATCATGGCCCCTGGCCAAGTGTAAGGTACCAAAGTGTCTGTGCTTGTGCTATTGCCCAGGCAACATGAGAACCACAGCCTGGGGTTTTGAAAAACAAAAGAGCAACCACCACCCATTGCAAAGGCAACATCATATTCCCTATGGCTGTTTCACCAGGAGACAGTCATCCTGACTGGGCATCTTGCTTGGATTTCAAGAAAGGAGATGAATGAAACCAGAAGTGAGATTGAAGCTAACACACAAAGCACATAAATCAGCCAGCCCCTCCTGTCCCATGCCTCAGCTCCATCCCACATCCCAACCAGTGACTCCGCTTGCTACCCAGCTGGTTTCTTTCACCAAATAAGGTCCATTCCCACTCGCCGGCACAGGCACGAGTAGCTACAGCCTATAAATCCCACCGGAGACAGCACACAAAGCACACACTTAACCCATCTTCTGTGCAGCAAAGCGCTTGGGCCCCGGACCAGCAAACTCCTTGGGTGGATGCTCAGCTCCGAGCAAGGGATGAGTGCCATTGGCAAGCGGGAAAGCTGTGCAAGGGCTGGAACACTCAGTGGGAGACATGGGGATGACAACCTGATGGCAGCTGCCCCTGGTACCCCAGCTCTGCATCCCTTGGCACTGACAGCATCTTCCCACCAGTTTGGCCTCACTACTCCTTGCACAGACACTAAGGGATGTTATAGATCCCACCAGCCCCAAAAGTACACAGTTTAACAGCAGGAATGGAACACGACAGCCAGCATTCATCAAGAGGAGGTGGGAGATGGAGGAGAGCTGGGAGACCCCCAACTTCAGCATCACCAAACACCACAACTTGGGGTGACACAGCCCAACGCCTGATGTAGCTCTGTGGAACACGTCTGCCCACCGGAGCCCCAGACACCAGCCCCAGCTTTCTCTCTGTAAACTCAGCACTTGGTTTTCGCAGCCGATAACGCAATACAAAGTCATACCAGCCGCCTGGCCCTTGTTAGCATTAAAAATTAAAGACAGAGCAAACAAAACCTAAAGCTCCAACATTTATTATGGCAATTTCCCACCCACCCACAGACCTGCACTGGGGGTTGCTTTATTTTTAATGCATCACATCAGACGTGCCTTCCAAGACACAGCACAGCACGGAGATAACCAAGAGGCCAGGTTGTCCAACGAGAGCAAGACAGTCTTTTCCATGGGGAAAGGAGCCGGTTGAAGCCATCAGTAAGCCCTTGACCTTGGTGGGTGGGTTTGCTTTTTTGTTTTGATTTTAGAAAATAACGAAAGAAACAAAGAAATAACCCAAAAACCCCCAAACCAACCCCAAAGAAGTGTCATACTCTATTACAAAATATAAATACGATAGTCTTGCAGGCAGGAGGAGCCCGGGGAGCGCTGCCTTCGGACGGGGACTTCCAAGGCTCTCCCGTAGGGATGCGGTGAGCCAGCAGGACAGAGGCCACCTCCGGATGCTGAGATGCCGCCGGCCGCTCGCCCCAGCTTCACCTCCTTTCAGAACTTAAGTGCTCTTGGAGTTCCATCCGAAAACTGCCAGACATCTGGGGCTCCCTGGGTGCTGCGCCAGCCGGGGGGGTACGCCGAACCTACAGAGAGCATGGGGACAGAGGAGAGAAAGGTGTGACATGGCCCTCGGTGAGAGGCATTCGCTTTATTTTACTTCTTTGGTTTTGGTCTGGTTTGGTTGTTTAACAACTAGGACACCCAGCTGTGGCAAAGGGGCACGGCAGGACAGAGCCCTTCCTCCTCTCAGGCCACACTCTCGCATCCAGCATCGCTCGGCACCATGCAGGAACCAGAGGGATCACTCAAGGAGAAAAACCTCTGGGCTCTACTGAGATACCTGGGCTGTGCCAGGAGCTCTGCTTGGGCAAGGACTGAGCCAGCCTGTCTGCAAATTGCCTCCTATTCTTTCCCAAAAGCTCCAGGGTTTCCCACAACACCCACAGTCCATCCAGGTGCCAAAGACCCTCTTAAAGCCGTTGGTACTGTTAATACACCACACGGCGGGTGGTTCATGGGGGACCTTCCCCAACTGTCTGCATGTTGGATATTGCACAACATGTAAAGCAATGTGCACGCTACAGCTGCAAAGCTCAAGCTGTAAAGTCCCAACCTGCACCCAGCGAAGCCTGCAGGCAACTCCAGCAGCATGGAATGGGGCGCTGGGACAGCAGATGTCCCCAGCTCTGCTCTCATGGAGAATGAGAGCCTCTGCAAGTCCCTGCTCAAAGCCCATCACCAAGCACTGCACTACCCCAGACAGCAGGCTAAGGGCTGCAGCAGAGGTGACGAGGCCAGCATATCATCAGCACACCCTCAAAATCCACCTCTGCATCCTGACCAGGGAATCAGCTTGTATGGGAATTGGTTCATTAACACTAGAGCGGTTGAGGGGCTACAAGAGACTTGTATTAAGACTATTGAGACTAAACAAGCAGCTCCTAGGCCAGACCTTCACCAGGTATAAACTGGAATGAGTGTCTCCTCTGAAGTCAATAGCATGTGCCCAGTTCCCACCCCAGGGAGGGTTTGCTGCTGCTGCTGCCTGCGCCCAACACGTTTCACGCTGACATAAAAGCTGGATGAGACTTGCAAGGGAGCCAAGAGCACCAGGGCCACCCCGGCCACAAGCAGTACCAGCACACCACCACTGCAAACCATACATCCCATCAAGGGGCATGAAATCCAGAGGGACCCTGAGCCTCCTGCCCCATGCCTGGATCTCTGTAGCCTAGTGAACCCAGCAGCTGAGGAGCAGCAGCTCTCCAGTGACTGGCAAAGAGCCCTCCAGGCAGTATCACTCTCCTGATCAATACTACAATTTGCCCATGCATCCACCAAAAGTGGGTTTCAACCTTGACAGGAGAGGGAAAAGAGAGCGAGGGAGCTAAAAGAGCAGCTGGTATCTCTTTTCTCTTTGGTACAACCTCTGCACTTAGATAAACCCCGAAACTGTATCTCGTCAGATACGCCAAAGCCTCCTGAATGTCAAGCAAAGACATGGTATCACTTATTCCTGTATTTATCTCAGCCCTTGGAAACGTAATAAATACAAAACATCTGTAGTCTAAATTCTGTATACTGGTTCAGTGCCTCCATTGCATTAATCATTCGATTTGCAGGAGATTAAATACTAACAGCAAAGGGGACTGTGCCATAACAACACATTCCTCCTCAAAAGCGGATGGGGTTGGAGGTTTTAACACTAGAGACACTGCTACCCGAGTTACCACTCTCATTTAGAGACATCTTTGTGCACAGAAACAGGAAAGCTTCTAAGTGGGTCATACCAAAGCAGCTCAAGAGCCCATGATGGGGCTGATGGGGATACACGCCCCAACCCAACAAACTTCAATGGGTTTATCATGCCATTAACTCATCACCAGTGGCAGAAAAACATCATGGTAGTGAACTCTGCTTTGGTGTGGAGGTGACAGTGTGTTCTCATTCACAAGCTATGCTCTCAGTGGCCAGCCAATGCTCTGACAACTTCCACATCAGGAGCTGCTTCTCCTGAGCCTCCTCCAAACCACCCCAGCCCCATGCGTGGCCACAGAGTGACACAGCACCCAGAGGGCTCTTTTAGCTCTATGAAACCTGTAGAATTCAGCTCTCTGAAACCTGTAAATCAAATGCACCACTGCACAATACAGAGAAAGTAATGAATAGGTGTATGCTTTCCTCCTATTAAACCTCATAGCAGCACGTGGAGCCCAAATCTGCCTGGAGATGTCTGTATATATGATGACTTTATATGTAAAACATAGTTGTGGGGTTTTTATACTAAAACATAGTATAGAGAAAGGTAGTGGAATGAAGACCGCCATAGGATAGACATGGGATGCAGCACCCGTTTCAAAAGACAGCCCAGCTACACTCAACCCCAGGCAGACCAGCCAACAAGAGTACCCTAGACAACATCTCAACCATGGAGTGAACAACCAGCAATAAAAAAGGTTGAAAAGAGAGGGAAAAACTGGATTCTGAAAGGACATTTCATGGCATGGGATCAAAAGCTGTGCTGTTAAGGCAGCTGAAAAGCACTTTGTGCATCCCTGCATACACCAGCACTGTGGGGATGGTCACTGCATCCATCCCCTTCACCTCAAGCCCACCACACTGGGGATCTGCCTCCCCTACATTGTGCTAGGGGTCCCTCTGGCAGTGCCTGCATCTGCACTGGTCCAGCACAGCATCTGCTGGTACTGGCCTGGTGAAGGGCAGCACAGTTCAGGGCCGCTCCCGGTGTTTTCCCAGCCTGTCTGCATGCTCATCCCACTGTTTGGACAACATAACCTTCATTCCTCATATATGGGATTAAACCAGAGCTTTTTGCCTCTCTTAAAAAAAGGAGTATTTTTTCTTTAGATTATCTATTCCTGTGTTTTTTAAATCCCAAACTTCCCCTTCAAGAAGGCGCTGGGCAAAATACAGGCAACAAACGATGCCATCACGAGAAGACGACAGAACAACTGGGAGGTTTTACAGAAATCAAGGAAAAAAAGGTAAAAGGAAAAAAAATAAAAAGAAAAGTATTAAATCCATTACACTAGGAACAGCAAGAGACAATATCACAGCAGTACGTGCTTTAATAAAGTAAAGAGATGCTGCAACATGCAGTATTTGTCAAACTGACAACATACACAGACCCCTAAGGGAGGGATGAGGAGACCTGCACTGGAGCCCGGATTTTAGAGACAATGCACATGAAATGTCTCATAAACCTGCGATTCCCACCAAAAGAAAAAAGCCCATGGGAGAAAGAAGGGGAGCTCCCAGCTCCAGCCTCCAGCCGGGAATGGTGTCAGGAGCTTTGGGGTGCAATCCCGGAGCTGCGGTGTGTATCCCCCGCCCCGAGAGAAATCAGCTCCTGCCCATGCACCCATGTGTGCCAGTGCTGATTTCACCCCACAGCCCCAAAACCTTTAGGTTTGGGGATGGGGGAGTCCCGGGGGTTGGGGACATAGGGCTACTTTGTGCTCGCCTCTTCTGCCAAAGCGGGGAGGGAAATCCCTGCTGCAGAAGCCAAAGATGCCACCAGTTATCGGGTGGGGGGTCACAACTTAGCCCTCAACTAAGGGAGGCAAAACCCCCCCCAAAACTACATGTCCAGACTGCGAACGCTTCCCACTGAAAACTAACTTGTTATAGCCCAAAAATCCTCTTCCTCAGCACAAAGGGGGTTTATCTAAGGGCAAGCTGGGCAGCGGGCGCTCCTCGGGGCTCAGAGCGCGCACCCCAAAACACCCCTGCCCGGGGACCTTCTCCTAGAGCCTGCCGCTGGGAGCCACCTACAGCGTGTGTCAAATGAGGACACCAGAAGCTGACAACTGTGTACTTTAAGGTTTTTTTTTTATTTTTTCAATAAAGGGACAAAATGGGTGTATGAACAGGATAATGCAGACAACTGCCAAAAAAACACAGACAGTGGTTTTTCCAATAGAACTTAACAAAGACCAGAAACAAATACAATAAAAAGCCAGGTTGTAATGACCTTTGGTCATCCAAATAATAAAAAATAAAAAAAAAAAGAAAAAAAACAACAAAAAACCCCAAAATAACCAAATCCCCCCCCTCCAAAAAAAAGATAACCCCCAAAGAAAAATAAAAGATCAAATTAAGTGCCTCTGTTTTGAACAGAGCACGTAAGCAATAATAAATAGTGACTCCCATAGTAAAAGATAAAATTTCAAGTTACGACAAACAGCTTTCATTACAGGAATAGAAAAGGCCAATAACAAAATATTCTGCATTGCCATTTACAAAAAAGTATTGACTCAAGCGGGCTTTCTCTTTAATATGCTTTGCATATGAAATTCTTTCCAATCTAAATATAAAGCACCATTTAGTTTTTGGCAATGAAAAAAACTGCAAAACGGTTTTTTCTCCTTTTTTTTTTTTCTTTTCTTTTTTTTTTTCTTTTTTAATCTTTTTTTTTATTCTTTTTTTAAGCTTTTTTTTTCTTTCTTTCTTTCTTTTTACTGCATATGAAGTTAAGATGCTGGAATGTCGGGTGATAGAAGGAAAGGGACATAAAGCACACTACAGAACAAACCAACGTTATTAGCTTGCAGTACTGCATACAGTATGGCAGCAGGAAAAAAGAACGCAAAAAAGATATGTACACCCCTCTGTGACGGCCAGCAGCGTGACATCTCCACAGCATTCCCCCAAAGAGCCATCATATGGCCTCGGATCTGTACAATGTCACACTTTTCTTCTTTTTTTTTGTCTTTTTGTCTTTTTTTTTTTGTCTTTTTTTTTTTGAAACATACAAATAATTTGCACTATATTATCCTGCCAAATTAAAAAAATATACTGTGGCAGCCTGTGGTTTTTTGTTTTTTTTCCACTACCAAAAAAGGTACATCGATACCTTTTAAGAGAACAAGCAACAGTTAAAAATACAAGCTTCAATATAAATACTATAGTGCCTACACTAGATGAACATTTAATTCAAATACCATTCTAGAAATACAGAAAAAAGAGACCATAAATGTGTTTTTAGCATAGGAATCAACATGAGTGTGCATTTTCCTATATTTAAGTACTATATAATCTTAAACCTTTCCCCAATGCATGTTTTTCTTTATACAACCTGAAGAGCTGTGTATATCCAAGGCATAGAATTTCCACTACCAAAATGAAGAACAAGTCTTGTACACCACCAAGACGATGAACCCTAAAATACAGTTTCCCCCTAAACATAATGAAGTGTTGTGATTTTTTTTTTTCCTTTTTCTCCTTAAAAAAATTTTCTTAACATTTATATTTTAAAAAAGTTTTTTGTGGGGTTTTTTTTCATTTCTTTTTTTTTTTGTACAAAAAAAAAATAAAAATCCTTGCACTGTAGGAGCCAAAGCAATCATTCATTTTATGGGAGTGTAGAGTCTGTTTCCATTCACAGCGCTGTAATGTCGCGTCCGAGAAGATAAGCTCATTAGTCAAGTAAATGGCTGGCAAAGTTTTGTGTTTTTTATGGGTTTTCTTTTCTTTTATGCTCATCAATGAGATCATATTCGATTTTTTTACTGTTTTTTTTTTTGTGGGGTCTTTTTTTTTTCAGCATTCTTGCAACTTTTCCCTTAAAGTATAGACCTGTAAACTGGGAAAATTGTACAGTGCACTTAATTGTCCTATCTGAGCAGTCTTAATTTTATACTCAACCTCTGTACCTTCGATTAAAGAAAAGATACAGACATCACAGGCAGAGTCAAGTGCTATTTGAACACCAACCGGGGCGGGCGCTAGCTTAAGAATAAAACAAGGAATCCTTTTCCACATCAACACAAATAGCACACAGAATATGGGAGGGAGGGGAGAAAGAAAAAGGACAACTTTTAGGGAGCACAGACAGATACTGCTACTCTTTTGCTTATTATTTCTCTTTGTTTTAAATTCTCCATTACTTCTTCCGAGCATCACATTAAAGGCAAGTCTTAAAGAGTTCATAGTTAATCATCACTGTGTCGGTATTAGCTTATAACCTGTTCTAGTTTTAAATGGCAAACAGTACCACATTGTGCTAATAAATCACAATATTTTATTTTACTTCTTTTTGCTCCTCTATCCGTTACACTCGGTAAAATATTATTGCCAGTCTTATTTTTATTCTCTATACGGTACACACGAGGTCTTAAAAGTTTATAATTTGATTGTCAGCTTTGACAACCAAGTGGCTCCGGATTTATTTGCTTTTGGTGCCAGAATCAATAAAAGATATTATTAAAAGTAAATATCTTCATCAAACGGATTTCCTTACTTGTGTATTTAATGGCATTGAAGGGCCTCTGCGCGTTTCACATTCTATTTAATCATTGATGGGGAGGGGAAGACAAAAGTTTGGGGTTGGGGGGAGGAAAGGTCCTGTATCTTGTTTTAAGCTCTCTCCAGGAGCGAAGAGGGATTTTAGACTGGTACGATCAGTTCTGCTTTAAAAAATAATAATTATTATAATAATAATAATAAAAGGCGGGGGGAGAATGATGATTAACTAGGACTGAGCGGGTCATTTCTTTCTCTTCCTTAAAGTTTTCTCTTTCCTCTTCGTTCTTAGGTAGCTGGCGTTGTAAGAGCCACGAGACGGGGCTCGCACGCTCGGTGGGAGACGAGCTACGCGTGGAGGACGAGTAGAGAGGAGCCATCGGCATCGGCCGCGACAGATCCAAGGCACTCACATTATTTGTATGTGTGTGTGTGTGTATTATGCGTGTTTTAAAACCAAACACTAACAGAAATCTACCTCTTTCTGACTGATGGCAGTCGGTTACTTTCCAATTCAAGGCCTTTTTCCTTTTGTCTAATGGGTACACTCCAATCGGTGGGCTTATTCCTTTTTTAAGACAGCAAATCTAGCTAACTCAACGCTTCTTCGGTGCTATCGCTCCTGTCCGTAGAGGGTTACCCAAAGCGTGTTTTCCTTCGCACGTCACAAAACAAAACTGTACATGATATGTATTACAGGATGTATGCAGCATGGTCGGTTTTGTTTGCTCTTGGGTTTGGTTTTGTTTTGCTTTTTTTTTTTCCTTTTTTCCTCTTTTTTTTTTTTTTCTCTTTCTTTCTTTCTTTCTTTCTTTTCCCGAACGGAACTGGAAACAGCGACGTGTTTGCTCAGCAACTAATCAGGGACAATTTAAAAACAGCCATAACATACCATACATGCTGTCTAATCCAAAAAAAAAAAAAAATGAAAAGAAGAAGAAGAAAAAAGAAGAAACAAACCAAAACCAAAAAAAAAATACCAAAAACCCAAAACAAACCAAACCAAAAATAAGAAAATAAAAACAACCCCAACATACACAACATGTAAATTATTGCACAAGAGAAAGGCTCAAAGTTTGCGTCAAATGCAATAGTATTGCCCCGATACAGATCATGCATTCAAACGGTGAGAACAAAAAGAAAATAAACAGGGTGTGCTGGTGACAAGCACTTTCCAAATATCCTTAGCTTTCCATGATTTCCATCACAAGGGACTAGAAAAACCTCTACGGGGATGCGGGGAAGGGATGGGGGTGAATGGGGGGGGGGGGGGGTAACGAATATACCTCTATTCAGTTTTTATCTCGTTATTCAAGACTCGATCACTGTGCCATTTTTTCATGTGTTTCTCCAGGGTACTGTACACGCTAAAAGGCATCTTACAAATCTCGCATTTGTAAACGTCCTTTCCCACCTGCCCGTGTGTTTTCATGTGCCGGGTGAGCTTGCTACTCTGGGCGCAGGCGTAGTTGCAAAGCTCACACTTATACGGCCTCTCGCCCGTGTGGCTCCGTCTGTGGACGGTGAGATTACTACAGTTCTTGAAGACCTTCCCACAGTACTCACAAGTGTCGCTGCGTCTGCCCTCTTTTGAGCTGGGCCTCCCAGGGCCCGGGCCACTAATATGGGGGGTGCTCCCTCCGCTTCCCGTGCCGCTGCGGCCTGAGATCCCTCCGTCCAGCTCGCCCGGCGGCGTGGAGAAGCGCAGGCTGCCGTTCTCCGAGGAATGCTCGGAGGAGGAGGCGAAGGGCGATTGTCGGGAGTCGCCGAAGCTGAGGAAGGGGTCTTTCAGCTGCCGGGATGCAGCGTAGCCTGCCAGCCATTGGGAATAAACGTTCTCGGTGTTGGGCATGGCAGCGGCCGGCAGGTCGAACTCCTTCTCCAGCTTGATGCGTTTGGAGAAGGGGCTCAAGGAGCTGGGGCTACCCAGCAGCAGCTTTTTGGACAAGCCTCCCGAGGCGGATTCCCCCGGGGAGCAGCCCCGGCCGTTCACTGCCCCTTCGTCGATGCGGTCGGACTCGCCGGCCACCGAGTCTTCGTCGCAAGTGTCCCTGTGCACCTCGGGCTCGGGGAGGTGGCCCCGCTTGTGTTTCTCCCCCAGGACCTGGTGGAAGGCCTCGCTGAAGTGCTGCATGGAGCTCAAGACCATGCCCTGCATGACGTCCGGCATCGACCGACCCTCCTCGCCGGCCCGAGAGTTGTTCTCATGGTGGCGGGCTGCCTCCAAGCTCATCCCAAAGCCGTAGTCCGGCCGGTCGCTCTCGTTCAAGTCCTCCTCCTCTTCCTCCTCTTCCTCTTCCTCCTCCTCCTCCTCTTCCTCCTCTTCCTCATCCCCATTCTCAGGGATCATGTTGGGGTCGTTCTCGCTCTTGAACTTGGCTACCACAGACTTGAGGGCGCTGCTGGCGCTGCCCACCAGGTCGCTGGTGCCCGGCTCAGGGGAGCTGGCGGTGGAGAGCCCATCGTCCGACTTCACCGTCATAGGGGATGACTTGTGCATGTGGGTCTTCATGTGGCGCTTCAGCTTGCTGGCCTGCGTGCAGGCATGGTCGCAGAGGTTGCACTTGTAGGGCTTCTCCCCGGTGTGGCTCCGGCGGTGGACCACCAGGTTGCTCTGAAACTTGAAGGTCTTCCCGCAGAACTCGCAGGACTTGGACTTCATGGGCGGCTGGGAAGGAGGAGGAGCAGACTGCAGAGGAGGAAGGGGCGGCGTGGCCAGGAACGGGGGCTTGCTGCCGGGCTGGAAGGGCTGCAGCAACCTTTGCATAGGGCTGGGCCGGCTCGGGGACAAGGGTGGGCTGGAGGTGTTGCCGGCCAGCTCCCGCAGCCTCCGGGAGAAATCCATAGCGGGGGGCTCCATCGCCATGGGGTTCAGTCGCAGCACCCTGTCAAAGGCACTAGGGTGATGGGTGGCCAGAGCCATTTCTTCCGCACCCAGGCGCTCAATGCGATGCGGATCCAAATGGTGCCTCGGGGGAGGGCTAAAGAGGGGCGGTGTGGGTGGGAAGCGCCCTTCTCCCAGCCCCGACGCCTCCCTCGAGACCGAGCCGGGTATTCTGAGCAGGTTAAAAGGGTTATTGTCTGCAATGTGAATCCCGTGGAGAGGTGGCTGGGAAGGGCACTCTGCACCTAGTCCTGTTGGGATACCAACCCGTGGCGTCAGGGGGCTGCCGTGCTCGCTTTCTAGGTAGATCCGTAAGCCGTGCGTGTTCTGTGCGTGCTGCAAGAGGAACCAGGCGCTGTTGAAAGGCTGTTTACAAGTCGTACACGTGTAGCTGCTGGGCTCGTCTTTACCTGCAAAATAACACAACAAGCAGCGTCAATCTTCGGCCATGCACCGGCAGATGAGAGCCGTCTCCCTGCCTAAGCTGCTCTCCTTTGGGATGCTCAACTGGGAGCTGGGGAAGGGACATCCCAGCTTAGGCACAGGAAGGGGACAGGGGGACAGGAGGGGTGTGATGGGGAGGTACAAAACCCACCCCACCCCTTCCCACTGTCCCCAGCCCTGGGTTCAGAACTGAACCCCAGAGGGTAACTCCAGCAAAACAAGATATAAATAATACGAGACGACAACGTCAATGGATGCCAGAGGCTGCTAATATTTAAACTGAAATAAATAAGACAGATAAATAAATATAAATCTTCTAAAAAGCACTCCAGAAAACCACGCACATCAGTTCAAAGCAGCAACGCAAAGCATCCCAACTGCTGGCAAGCTGGGCATCACCGCATCAGCCTCCTGCTTATGAGACTAACGATAAGTACAAAACTGGACACTATCTCCTGCTCTTTAGAAGAGATTCAACTCTGGGTCAAATGAAGAGAAAAAAAGGGGAAAAAGTTAAATCAAAACATAGCATGGGCTGGGGAAAGGGGAAGGCAGAGAGAGCAGCAGCTCTGCCAGGGAAAGAGCTGGAGGGTGGCCAGGAGGCCTGGCCGAGCGCCCTGCCGGAGCCACATTATTTCTCTCGCACTGAAAAGAAGCTGAGGATGGTAAATGCCACTTTGGCAAGTAGCGAGCTAACTCTATTTCATGATAATTTATTTTTGGAGATAACATGGACATTATAAAAGAGCAACCAACTAATAAATAACTAAACAAAAAGATGGCTAATAATGACAGCAGAAAGCAGCCCCTTCTAATATACGGCAAAACAAGGAGGGTGAGTAAGTTTTTGAGCGCTGCCCACAAGGAAGGGGTCGTGTGAGAAATGGCAAAGGTGAGAGTGCTTTTATCGATGACTGTGATTTGGTAAATAATTCACTTCCACCCCCCTATGGATGTTCTCCTAAATGCTGGTAAACTGGAGCTATGAGGATGGAAATTTGTTCCCAGGCCTGCCCAGCAGTTCATGTAGAACTGCTCTCCAATGATATTTGGAAAAACAAACATGGATCTTGAGGTCTGTTGAGGAATAAACCAGAAGACCTCAAAGAGCATCAGTGCTTGGGGTGATAATTGCCTGCACCACATACTCCCGCCCTGACCCAACAGTTACATTACGAGTACGTGGCTCCATAGGCACCACTCCTGGGTAAACCTCTTTATGTGCTGGCACTAAGAGCTGCCACTGTTAGGTTTTCCCTATTTGCCTAATATGAAGGAAAGGAAAAGAAAAAGCCAAATGTGAAGATCTGGAAAGAAAACATTGCTTTATCTGCGCTCATCTTGTTTCCCATCTCACTTGGGAGGAGAGGAAGAAAAGCTTCCTATGGGCATTTTCATTCTCTAGCGAGCTGAGCAATGATGTGGGGATACAAGAGGCCCCGTCACAGCTTTCCTCCCTGCCTCCCAGCCCTGTGGTTACTCTGCGTCTGGCCTGAGAAGCTGAATCAGGAGAGAAAAAAGAGACTCAATCATCTACAGCAGGCATTTAACACTTTAATCACTTGAAAAGCCCTTGGAATAATATTTAACGTTTCATCCTGAAAGCAGCGCCGGAATAAAATGCACTGCGGTGTTTAGGATGTGCCAGGCGTGTGAGTGCAGATAAATACTTAAATCTGCTGAAATGAGAGGGAAATTCAATTGGACTTTCACATTCCTATGCTCATTTGTGAGCTTGGGGGAAAAAGAAAAATCTTCAATGGGGAAATTTCACCTTGCTTCACCATAATGAAGTGGAAGTTTTTAACACCACGGTGGGAGCTAACAATGTAACGCTGCCTCCCCTCTCTACCTTATAGATCAGGTCAGAGAAAATAGCATTTTATCTTCTAATGAGGATACAACATCAAGCGTTCGCTACCACATTTTAGTATTCCCATCAACTAGATATTCTAGATCATAAGGGCAGCTCGTGTAATCATAATGTCAATGAGAAGGGCTGTTACGACTGAGACTAAAGATTACATGGAAAAAGCTGCTTTGAAACTGGTAATTATTACCAGTCCACTAATAGCAAATGATGCATTACAGTTTCACCGTATAATCTGTATTTCACTCAGCTCCTGCCAGTACGGCCTTATTATATTACAGCACTCACAAATTCTAAATTCCTAAACTACAGTCATCAATAAATGTGTTACTCGCCATAATTTGCAAAATTACTTTGTTCATAACATCTTCGACTGTTACAAAGACTGGAATTGATTTCCTGCATGGCAAAATTAGGGCTACATTGATTTAGTGGAGTGTAAAATGTAATATTATTCTTCACGTGCTTGCCTGAAAAACAAGTTTTCAATTCACCGTCCGCGTTTGGTAATCAAGAGAATAATTTAAATTCGAAATCATGTTTATGTATAAAACTTCCCCTATAAACAACCCAACATCTCCAAGGGAGCAACGTGAAACCAGGCAATAAAATCAAAGCAGCGAAACAGTTAAAATCCAGCAGCCATTTGCCTCCACCTCCTGCTTTGAAGAGACACGATTTCTAATTTGTCTATTAGTGCTTGATTAATTATGAAGGCTATTGACTGACCATATCACCACCTAGAGATACGTTCCAGTCTGATGCAGCCTTGCCAAACTGCAAGAATTATGGCACTAATCCATGCGTTGCCCGCCAGCAATGAGACAGGTCCTCAGGCCGCTGCAGCAACCCCTGGTTTTGGAGGGGAACTCGCCTTTTCCTTCCTCCCATCCCACCAATATGGTTTATGGTGAGAGTTTGGGTCCCCCCAAAAGCCAGGCAGGATCATAGGACCTGAAGGCTGTGGATGCACTGATGTCTCCAAGCTATGGGTCTTTACATCCATACGCATTTCCCAGCTAAAGCATCTGTGCAAGACCACAAGCACAAGAGGGAGATGTAGTAGGTGGTGGTGGCCAAGGACAGAGCTGGAGAAGGTCCCATGGGGCTCTGTACCTCATTGTCCACTGGGGCAACATGATGGGATGTGTTATCCAAAGCAGCACTGAGATGCCATCGGGACTTCCAGCTGATTTCCAAGAGGACAGCAGGAATGCTGAACCAGCCCTCCTTGGCCACCAGCAGTGGGGCTGGAGCTCACATCCTCAACTGCTTTGCATCAAGGAATTTAAGGTCAAAAGGGATCACCAGCTCTCATTCTCTAACCTTTCCTGCAATACAAGCTTCTCAGTTGTCCTAAGCCATGGCCAAAAAGGTATCTTTGGGTAAAGCATAACCTCCTCCAGCCTGCAAATTGTCTTTAGGGCAATGCATGAAATTCCAGCAAAAAACATTCAAACCAGCTCAGAAGACAAGGACAGGATCCACTGCTTGACCTACAGTTCACCCTCACAGCTAACCACACTCAAGACAGGTACTGGGGGGGTCCACCTGAATTCCTCTGGCTCCAACCTCTACCCATTCTCCTTTTCTATTGAGGGTTTTTTGGGGTTGATAACACTGAAAAGCCCTCTGGCACACAATGTGGCCTTCCCTCTGCACACCAAGAATATTTGTGCACCCAGAAATCAAGGCACACTTCTAAATATAGTCATCTTTACAACCCAAAACCACCCCTCCATCCTCCTCCACTACTCAAACCTTTCTCACCCCAGCATCATACTGGGAAGGGGTTGGTTTTCCTTGAAGCCTCCATCACCTCCATCTGAGCTGCTGCCTTCTGGGGTACCGCACCTCAGCTCTGTAAGCTATTCCATTCTTCTATCCAAGGACCAGAGCAGGCTGTACCCAACCATGCTCTTAACCATCTCTCAATCACCCATCCTAGCGATACCGCCCAGTGCTCGGTCTTCCTACACACAATGTCACACAGCGCTGCGTCCAACGCCTTGCACAGTCTATTTCATCTACATTTATCAACCAAAGTTGTCATCTGGAAGAATGAAATCAGGTTTATTTGACAAGATCTATATTCCATAAATCTAAGTTGAGTGGCATGAATTATATTTCTATCCTTTAATTCTTTATCAATTCCATCTTATATAGGCTCTTCAATTATTCTTCCCAGTAGAGATAAGCAAAGTGTTGCCAACTCTCCCCCGCTTACCCCGATGAGCTCTTGACAGCATTTTCCCAGTCCATAAGCTTTACTAAAAACCAGCATTCACATACCAATTCTTTAGGGATTTTGGGGGCTTTTCCATTTAAAAATATTTATTTCCATTGCACCTTGTATAATATCATCCTTGGCAACTAATCACAGAATCAGCTAGGTCGGAAAAGAACTTTAAGATCATCATAAGCTAGAAAAAGCTTCATCAGCCACCTACGATACAAAAACATAACACTGCTGCTTTCCACGTCTACAAGCAGAAATATTCATTGCAGACTTCTACCTTATTGCTTCTTCCATGTGTCACTTCAAGGGTTTCTCTTTCCTTCAGGACCCTGAGAAGCTCTCCTCTTCTCCCCATCAGTGCTGGGCATGAGTTTTCCTTAGCCTCTCCTGGCCAGTTCTCTACCCACGATGATTTCTCACTGCCATTGATTGCTATCCCTTTTCCATTTTTTAATTGTCATCTATTGATTTTTTTAATATCTAATTGCTGTTCTCATCTCACCACTGGAGAGGGTGAAGTAGGTTTTGGACTTGGGCCAGAGTTGCCCTCTCCTTCCTGGACAGCTCATCATCTCTTTACAAATAGCTTCCAATTACCATTCACGTTTTGTGTCTACGTTTTTCCTCCCAGTCAATTTTACTGCTCATTTGCTTCATATTTGGGAAATCACCCCTATAGGAGAACTACATTGGGATACCATGTACCAAATACAAACATGGGGCCAATATGAAACCTGACCAGTCTCATGCAGTGAAGCCTCACCCACCATTACGTATTTATTCCTTTCCTACACCCCAGCCAGCACAGGACTAATGACAGGGCACAGCATTTCACCACGACATGAATGTTTAGTGCC